GAGATCGCGCCATTGCACTCCAGCCTGGGTAACAAGAGTGAAACTCCGTCTCAAAAAAATAAAAATAAATCAAAAAAAAAATAAAAGAATAAAACCAAAGGAACCATTCACCCCTCCTAAGGGGAGAGGAAAAGGAGCAGACAAGACGCTTCCCCCAGCCACAGCCACTTCTGGTTCTTCTGTCTCTCTCCTTCCCACATCAACCCCAAATGCAATGGTTCACCGTCCTCCTCCATGTTCCCATGACAGAGGCCACAGTTCAACCCCCTCGCTTCACTCCAAGCCGCTGCCAAATGCTCCCTACTGGGGCCTCTGGAGCCCCTCCCCAAGCCAGGGGGCTTCCCAGTGCAGCCTGAACATCTCTCCAAAGCACAGGTCTGACCCCTCACTGCCCACCTGAACAGCTTCCTTAGCTGATGTCTCTTGAAATCGAGGCCAGGTCCACAGTGCCAATTCCACCCTCCCTACAATCTCTCTGCAGCCAAACCGGCTCGCCATCCTGGTGTTTCCTGGCTTGGTTTCACCTCTCCTTCCAAATGCCCGCCGCTCCACTTTGCATCTGTATTTTCTGTCTGGGGTCCTGCACGCGTGTGGTTCTGAAGGGAATCACCGATTCCTTGACGTCAGTTCACCCCACAGCCACTGTGATGCCTTCCCTCATCTTCCCACCTCTGCATGCGCACAGCTCTCCAGTGACATCCTATTATAATGTCACATTGGGATGAGGTTATCTGCCCTGGTTTCTCCCAGTCCCATTAGACTAGATGCCTACAGAAGGCAGGATCTTGGAAAAATATCAATGTATTCTATTTCTTTTAATTTTTTGTGACAGAGACTCGCTCTGTCCCCCAAGCTGGAGTGCAGTGGTGAGATCATAGCTCACTGCAGCCTCCATCTCTTGGGCTCAAGTGATCCTCCCACCTTAGCCTTTGAGGTGGGAGGATTAGCTCAGACTACAGGGCTGTACCATCACACCTGGACAATTACTTATGTATTTATTTTATTTTGTAAACTTTTTAATTTTCTTTGAGAAGGAGTCTCCCGGGTTCACGCGATTCTCCTGCCTCAGCTTTCTGAGGAGCTAGGACTACAGGCTCGTGCCACCAGGCCTGGCTGATTTTTTGTATCTTTAGTAGAGACAGTGTTTCACCGTGTTAACTGGGAGGGTCTGAACTGACTGTCCTGGTGATCTGCCGGCCTCGACCTCCCAAATTGCTGGGATTACAAGCGTGAGCCACTGTGTCCATCCTATCTATCTATCTATCTATCTATCTATCTATCTATCTATCTATTTATTTATTTATTGAGACAGGGTCTCACTCTGTCTCCCAGGCTAGAATGCAGCGGACCTATCTTGGCTCACTACAACCTCAGACTCCTGGGTTTATGTAATTCTTTTGCCTCACTCTCCAGAGTAGCTAGGACTAAGGTGTGTGCTACCACGCCAGGGGATTTTCGTATTCTTAGTAGAGATGGGGTTTCACCATGTTCAACAGGTTGGTCTCAAACTCCTGGCCTCAAGTTATCCACCCACTTCAGCCTCCCAAAGTGTTGGGATTACAGGTGTGAGCCACCACGCATGGCCGGAAGTTCTTTATTTTTAGTAGAGACAAGGGTCTTCCTATGTTGTCCAGGCTTCTCGAATTCCTGGCCTCAAGGAATCCTGCATTGGCCTCCAAAAGTGCTGGGATTCCAGGCCTGAGCCACCACTCTCGGCCACCAGTTGGAGGGCCTCTGTCCAGCAGGGCCCTCCTGAGGAAGGCATGGCTCTCTGCAGGGTGGGTGCCAGTCCTGACCTGAGGCCGGTCTCCCACCCTCCTCTTTGGGAAGCTGACCTAAGCCAGAGGTCTCTCCTGGTGGTGCCCCTGAGCAGCAGCCTGATTTCTGCCCCCAGCTACCTGGCCAATGACATGGAGGAGGACGACGAGGGCCCCAAACAAGCCATCTTCTACTTCCTGTATGGGAAGAACTGCTCCCAGCGACCCTTGTTCCAGAAGCTTCGCTTCCAGTTCTTCTGTTCGATGCACTGCAGGGCTTGGGTTTCCCCGGAGGAGCTGGAGGAGGTGGGTGCGGTGTGGGGAGGTGGAGAAGGTGGGGAGGAATCAGGTGGTTGGAGGCTGGATGAGGGGATGGAGGGGTATCCTGAGGAGTCCCTGTCTTCTCAAGGGGCATTTGTTTTTGCAGATCCAGGCTTATGACCCAGAGCACTGGGTGTGGGCACGAAATCGTGCCCTCCTTTCCTAGAGCTCCAGGACCATGGATGCCTGAGGTCATCGGCCCGAGGGAAGGTACATCTGCGTCCCCCAGGGTCAAGGCAGAATATTGTGTCTATTTAGGAAATCTGAGGAACCCCATTGCTTGACCCGGCTTCAAGCCTGGGCAACATGGCAAGATCCACTCTCCACAAAAATACACAAATTAGCTGGGCGATGTGGGAGGCATCTCTATTCCCAACTGCTCAGGAGACTGAGGAGGGAGGATCGCTGGAGCCTGGGACATTCGAGCTGCAGGGAGCCCTGATCCTGCCACTGTACTCCAGCCTGGTCAACACAGTGAGACCCTGTCTCAAAATTCATCAGAAATACTGAGTTCTGAAAGGTTCTCTAGGATTGATGCAGTTGGATTACCTATTTGGGTCAAGGATTCAGTGAAGATTTGGTTTACATCTTGCGCAGCTAACCACCTTGAGGACTCAGCATGAGACTTAAACATTAGGAAGTAGGATTATGGATTAGGCTCCGGGACTCATGGTTCGTGATGTTGTCACATTAGAAACATATCTAGCGTGGTGACCAGTTTAGATCTTAAATGGCCAGAAAGGGTCATTGTCTGAGGGTGCTGTACTGCCTGGGCAGGCCCACATAAAGTCCTGGTGAGGAAGCAGATCACTGGGGATGGCCTTGGGTGTATTCAGTGAGTTTTGGAGTCAGGGTCACCAAAGTGTGACTATCACAATTGAACACCATGGTTCAGATGCAGGCTAGAGAATGAACGGCAGGAGATGAAACTGGATTGATCAATTGCTCTGAACTCTAGTTAGGATAGATGTGGGACGTGAATGACCTTGCTAGAGAACTGCCTCCTTGAAGCCTGACATCCTCTCTCTCACTTCCAGAACACCAGGCCCAGGGGAGATACATTTTCAGCACAAAGTTTATTCCCATGCTAATGGCAGACAGACACCAGGAAGGAAGACAGGAGCCATTTGTGCAGATCATCTAGAAGAACCTGGACTGTTCTAGAAGGAGCTGAAGAGAGTGATCACGCTGTCCTCCTAAGAGTGGGAGGGTGGGGAGACGGTACTTCTAGGAGTCCATGGAGGACAGTGAGAAACCAGGGGTGTTTCTGGTTCCGCCCCTTCCTGCGGCACCACCTCCCTTTTTATGTTGCTGAATTCCAGCCTCCCTGGGGTGGAACCTGGAGGTCCTGTTTCCTGTGGACTTGGACGCCACAGTCCAGGAGCATTTGAAGGCACAGTGCAGGCACTCAGATTGGCACGGAATAATTTGTAAAATATGAGTGCCGTAGGATTGTAACAGATAGCTTCATGCATACTATGCATTTTTGTGGTTTTTTGGCCATCAAATTATTAATATGTTTATTTCAAATAGTTTGGAAACTGCTGTACTTTTGAAAACATGCTGTTCCTGTAGAGTTTCTGATGAGAGTTATAGCTGTTATATATACATAAATCTAATTTTCTTTTCATTTTTAAGAATTTGTTTTATCTTAAATCTTTTATGTTTAAATTGTTTTATCTGTTACGATGTGTTATGATATGAAGCCAGCACTTTTTATCTGTGACACTTACATAATAACCTATTGTATTTATAGCTATGTGATAGTTCCCCTAAATTCTTCTGACAGAAATTTTTATTTGCTGTTTAGTGTTTGTTACTGAATTCTGAGAATTCAGTTGTGATTTTTAACATGTCCTACATATATACTAATATGTCTACTACATACCATACACTTTATTGGTTTATTTTGGAAAAGATGGGCATAGAATTATTACTACATTTAATAGTTTGGAAATCCTGGTGGTTTAGAATAGATGCTGTTCCTATGAATTTGTGTGACAGCTGTTACAGCTACTAGATACACATAAGTATAATGCTGTTTTTCTTTTTAAGAGAGGATTCTTTCCATCTTAAATCTTTTGTCTTTAAATCTTTGTATCCATTATTATGTGCTCCTTAAGAGAGCACTGTTTTTATCTATGATGCTTACTTAACATATCTATTACCTTTATAGCTACATGGTAGTTTCCCTAAATTCTTGTAGAAATAAATTTTTATTTGATGTTCAGTCCATGTCTTTGAAATGCGAGAATTCAGATGTATTTTTTGCCTTGTATTGACATGTTTGTAAGTTACTTTGAAGAGGATGTGTGTTTTGAAGGAGGCCACGAGCTGTGTGTTGTCAACGGAACAGTGCAGTGCATCTCTTGGAAAACGTGATAAACATGAAGTTTTCTCGCCTTCACAGCGAGTGGGATCAGATTGCTCTGGATTGCTTATTTGCTGTCAAGTGACATTTTTCATTAATGGGGTTGTGGTTATTTGGACATATTTATTAGCTCTGGAAGATAATCTTGTATTATTTCTTATGTAGATAAAAACATAAGGCTGAGTGCAGTGCTCACACCTATAATCCC